ACACAACATTGATATTTCGCTGGATCTAAGATCTCATTGATGTGAGTACAGATTATTACACATCTTCATCTGCTTATTGTCCTTCCAATTTTATCCTTAAATATGCTCCATATGAACTGGCTTCTAGTCAATGTCTCTCACCACATTTTCTGTCATCTTGTTTTTCCTTCTTTTGCTTCTCACTTTTATAAAATGAGTTATCACTCACAATCATCCACCATCATCCAACATAAAATTTTATAAGTGAGTTTATATTCTAAAACTGTGTTGTTGTCCTTGGCTACCATAGCTCTCTGCTGGGCAAGGAGACCATGTGTTTCCTGGCTAAGACAGTTTCTAGGGTTTCTTGGTCTCATTGTGGCAACTGATTTAACATCTTTAGGAAACTGATTGTTATCAATTCTTTTAGCGATTTCCCATTTTTCAGTGTTGAGCTTGTTTAAGTTGGTCAAATTAAAGTTGTTTTGATTGCATGACATATCTTCATATTTATATTCTTTCTTTTACTTGCTATTGATTTTAATCTTTTCTCTATTAAGTTGAGAGACTGAGACTGTCTGTACACAGACTGATTTGGAAATGACTCCCACGTAGGTTATCAGTAATGTTATATCTGTTAAAATATAACCAGAGGTTTTTTTGAGGAATTTTGTTTTTATTGCTTAACTTGTCTAGCACTTTCTGATCCTCATCTTGAAAAAATTATTTCTTGTAATCTTCTTTGTACTCTTTGGTCTCTTTTATTTTTTACTCTATAATTATTTATACCAAAGTAAATTATTATTAAAGTATGTTGATGATTTGAAGGGATTTATCAAATTTTTCATAGAATTTGTCTACCTCCTCATTCATTTATTTATACATTCATTATTATACAAGCATTTATTAAATTCATATGCAAAGCACTGTGCTAGGCACTTGAATACAAAGACAAAAATGAAACAGTCTTTGCCCTCAAGAAGCTTACATTCTACTGGGGGGATTAAAATACCTGTGCAAAGAAGCAAATTCAAAATGCAAAGCAATTCTGATGGAGGGATAACATGGCAGGATAAAGGGGGGTCTTATGTAGGAGGTAACAGCTGAGCTGAGAGTTGAAGGATTGTAGAGATTCAAGAGGCAGAGATGAGGAGGAGGAGGATTCTAGGCATGAGATGCAACCCAAAGAGTCATGAAGGCAGAAAATCAAAAGTTGTCTGTGTGGAACAGCTAGTCCCACAGGTCAGTTCAACTAGAACAAAGAGCACATTAGGAGGAATGATAAATAATGAATGAATAATGAAATTAGGATGGAAAGATAGGTTAGAAGCCAGATTGTCAAGGTCCTAAATGACAAGCAGAAGAGTTTGTGTTTGATCTTAGAGGTCTTTTTTTTTTTAATTTTTAGGCAATTTGGGTTAAGTGACTTGCCCAGGGTCACACAACTAATAAGTATCAAGTGTTTGGTCTGAGGCCGGATTTGAACTCAGGTCCTCCTGAGTTCAGGGCCAGTGCTCTATCCACTGCGCCACCTAGCTGTCCCAATCTTGGAGGTCTTAAAGGCAATAGGACACCAGTGAAGCTGCTTGAGGAGAGCAGTGACATGGTTAGCTGCAATTTTCTTTTGCCTTCTGATTTAATTTGTGATAAGAATGTCAACACAGATATGGTTCAGTTCCTCTAGGAGTGTTGTTGTTTGTCCTTCATTCTCAAACATGACCATGACATCAGGAAGGTGATGCCATGACATGCAAGTGAATTGCATTTAAGTGAGGGGGGCTGTGCAAAGTCACCAGCCTCACTTTCTCCTCCAGAGCCATCTGGGTCCAGTGGCAAGATATAGATCAGGATGACTGAAGATGGCCCCTCTCTAGGAATATGTCCCCTACTGGTTGCCAAATAATGATCTCGTGTTGACAGCACCAACAGTTAAATAAATGTTGATAGTTGATCTAAAAACTGTGATTTACTAGCATCTTTTGCTACCTCTTATTTACTTTTTGGTGTGGCCACTTTGTGACAGTCACTACAGAAGTGGAAGGAGGCTACACAGGTATGAGGGCCATGTTGTATTTTTCTTTGTTTCAGGGGTTGCCATGATGAGAGGATTAATCATCCACTGGCCAGCCTACTGGTGATAAGCCTTTCCATATTTAGAGTGATCTTGGGGGAAAGCAATGACAGCTTGTCACCAGGTTTGCTCTTGGTACCTTTGCATCATGGTAGAATCTGTCAGAACTTGCAGACTACTGGCCTAGCCTTCAGGAGCCCAAGTGAAAAATGTTGATCAGAAGGGTGGTTTATAGATTCTATTTGGAAAAGAAAAAATAAAGAAATTGATAGGGTTGGGTTTGTTTGGTTTTTTTATGCTTCCACAAGAAATATGAAACATAATTTCATGGGACACTTGGTCTTCTCATATTGCAGTGTTCCTGATAAGCTTTTGTAAAAAGGCTGCCATGAAAATAATCATGGTTTACACACCAATATCTGTTGCAGAGAGTGTCCGAAAGATAACTTATTATTTTTTCCCCTAAAGGAACCTAAACCCATCCCATCCCTTTTCCTAACTCCCTATTACTGTCAAATCCTCCACCAACACCTCTTTAAGTCACCCAGGTTTGCAATCCTAGAATCATCTTCCACTTTTCCATCAGCCTCATATCATATCATGTCAGCCCATATAAAATAATTTGCCAAGTTTTGTCAATTCAATACGCACAATATCTCTCACATACATCACTTTAAAGACTTTTCTGCTAGAAAAAATATCATGCTCCCTCACACAAGGATATGCAAGGAAAGTATGCTTTCAAATATAACTAGTTTAGAGAAAACACAAATATCTAGGCTAGAACAAGGAAAGAGTAGTAGTATTAGGCATACGGTGAGGACAAGGTACCATTAAAGAATAAGTCCCCTGCCTCCATAACATCATAAGAACAGTAACTACATACTAGTGATGATCCTTTGGTCTGGTCACTCACCTCTATTTTGTCAGGGCAGGTCATTGTTCAGTGTTATTGAAAGGTGGTAAGGATAGAAAGGTGTCCTCAGAACCAGGACAACCTTGGTTGAAGTCTTACCTCTGATACATACAAGGCTGTGTGACCCTGGGCAAGTCTTGACTTCTCAGTTTATAAATTGTACTGTGGTGGTGGTATTCAATCATTTTCAGTAGGTGTCTGACTCTTTGTGACCCCATTTGGGGTTTTCTTGGCAAAGCTACTGGAGAAGTTTGCCATTTCCTCCTCCATCTCATTTTACAGATGAGGAACTGAGGTGAACAGGGTTAAGTGACTTGCCCAGGGTCACACTAGCTAATAAGTGTCTGAAGCCGGATTTGAACTCAGGTCTGGATTTCAGGGCTGGCACTCTATCCACTGTACCACCTAGTTGCCCTTGCAAATTGCAGAGAAGGTGTAACACGCATTGGTAGAGGATGTTTCCGCATAAGGGGCTTCTTCTACCAGCCAAGTCGCAGGACAGTTCTCTGTCCTTTATCTCTAGACATCCCTGGCATCCACAGTTGTAATGCTTCCAGTAGCCTGTGATCCAGGGACCTCCTCACTGACAGTACTGAGATGCCAGCGGAAGGGAAAGAGTCGGAGCAAACCGCCTTTGACAAGTTCAAGTTTCCGGTTCTATTAAAAATAATATCCCATAGTAATAAGAGAATTGGCAGCTATGATTGCTGAATCACTGTTATTGATCTTTGAAATATGATAAAGATACTGTCTACCATCTTTCAACCAGTCAGACAAGCACTATTATTAATAATAATAATAGCTAACATTTATATAAAACTTTAAAGTTAGCAAAGTTCTTTGCATAGATCATCTCATTTGATCATCCTATCAACCCAGTGGAGTAGTTGCTATTATTATCTTCATTTTATAGAAGAGTAAACTGAGTCTAGGAGGAAGTAAGTAACTTGCTCAGTGTCACACAGTTTGTAAATGTTTGAGAAAAAGGATTTGAACTCAAGACTTCCTGACTCGCAAGCCCAACACACTGTCCGTTATACCACATTGTTTCCTGTTTAACATTTAAAACCCTTCAAAACCTATTCTCAACTTAACTTTCCCATCTCATTATATATTGTTCCCTTTCTTGTATTCTATTGTTCAGAAAAACTGGCCTTTCTCATTCTCATTCTCATTTCTCTTCTCATACTAGCACAGAATGACAGAATTTATTTCATTATGGTTCCAGTAATGGGGTGGAAGAAGAGATGACATTTTTGCTGTTACATATATGTGTTAGTTCCCGAATTATCAGACATATGTGATGTTTTAATAATGAGTGAGAAAGTAACTGGTTTTTTAAAAAGAAACATAGTATGGAGAGAGCATTTTGAAAAATGGAAGTTTGGAAATGTTTCCATTGTTAGGTGATTTTGTTGCCAAAAAATGGTGTATTTCACCAGTAAAAACTCACATATTTGCATACTCCAAAAAACTTGGAAAAATAATTTTCTGACCTACTTAAAAATCTTCCAAATGAAGAACTGCAATGGGGTTTGAAACCATATGTTAAAAAAATAAAATGGAACACTTTCAGGTTAGTTTACAAGAATAGCTGATTGATATCAGGGAAAATGGAAATTTGCTAGTCACGTTTCAACAAACAATATTTGCATAATTCCTAGGTGGAGATTGAAATATGAGTATCATGATTTAATAATTTAATAATCACCACTAACAACATACTTCTATGTGGAGCTATTTATCTTTATGAGATATCTTCTTCAGCTATGATAGCCATTAAAACCAAGTATTGAAATAAACTGGTTAGAATAATGTACAAGCATATAATTTATAAACATATTACATTGGAGAAGGTGCTCAAAGAATGTTTACCAATAATCATGTGTAATCAAAAAAGTTTGGAGACCACTGCTTTGTGCCTTACTATTACTGTAGCTCCTCTCTTGTTCTCAAATGGAATTTTTTTAAATTGGAGAATATTCCTGGTTTTCTCTTCTTTCTCTTGTTTTCTCTCCCCTTCCCCTATCCTAGAACTCCCTGCTCAGGCCAAGCAACATGCTGAGTCTGCAAAGAATTCTCTGTTGACCTGGAAGGGCTCAGCAATCTCAGATACGGATAAGAAGGAGATCCTTGGCACATTGGTGACCTTATACTATACTTTGGGGATGTCGGTCCTCATGCAGAACCAATATCCTTTCTTTTCTAGCAATGTACTTAGAAACCAACTGGGGGATATGGCATCAAATCAACCTTGTTACTTCTGTGAGGATTTTACTTTCGATTATTCCTCTGAGAACTGCAGATCTAGAAGAGGATAAGAGAACATCATCAGATGGAACAGATGGGAGTTTGAATCCCAAAGCCTTCTAGTTCTAATCCAAGACCTCAACTTTCCTCAATCCCTCCATCTCTTTCTCTATTCCAGAATTATTAGAATTATGATCCAGTCACCAAATTAACAGCTTCATGTCAAGTTGTTACTATGATGAGTCCTTCCCAAGTATATTTGGTTAAAAGTCCTCTGAATCCCCCTTGCTGTATGATGTCCTACCATATCATAGAGCCCCATATGGAAATCAAGATTAGCTCTGACACTAGTTTAGGAAGGATTGACTAGGGAAGGAGGGGGGTCATTTAAAGGAAGCTTAATTATCATGATTTTTACACATACACACACGTAAAGTTGTCCCATTGAAGTCAGAGTTTAAAATGAAGTGGACACAAGTCTACTTACATATACTATATATATATACATACATACATACATACATTTTATTTATATATATATATATGTTATTGGAACCACCATTTAATGTCACTTAACACTTGCTGGGGACATAAAACATCTAAGATAATTCTGAATTCTATTACTCCGGGTCCATGTACTTTATTACCACTATTTGGTCCTTACCCCAATAATTCCAAGAATGCACATTGTAAACAACTCTACTCCTATGAGATGTGCAACCTTCTATGGTACCCTCATCACAGGATCTTTAGAGGGTAGAAAAAATGAAGGAAATGGAAAGATATTTGGGATTTGGGGGGAGATTTTTCCTCTACCACCCCCACTCCCCAAAATACTAAAAATTATCTGATAGAAGTTAGACTCTTTTTTACTAGAGCTTAATTAGAATCTGTAAGGACTTTATTCACCAACTTTAGATCCCTTTCCTTTATAGTTCATAGAAGCTAGTTCCAGGGTAATGAACAATTATCAGTATATAGTGTAAAACCTCTAAGGGAAACATAAGTGGATTTTTCCCTAAAAGTTTATGGTTTCCTTTCACTCCTCTAAGCTCTTACCTGCTAATGCCCATTTTAGGTAGCCATCAAAGGAAGCCCAGTTTTGCCTGCTAAAGATTTCTTCCCTAGGAATGTGTCAGCAGGGAGAATGGAGAGGCCTGGGAAGTGGTCATTTTCAAGGTTTGCCCTGTTGACCCAATGGACAGTTGAAGCATTTTGTTTGCTTCTCAAATGTTGTACCTGGCTGTGGGATTTGGTTTTTATTATTTTAATTTTCCTCAATTGTTGCACTGGCAAGGAAGCTTATTACAATCTTCAGAAATCTGAGAAGAGCATGGAGGAACTGTGGGAATGTCCTGAGGGCCAGGCCACAGTTAGAGACTTAAAAGTCTCTGAGAAAGACCTCATAATTGCTTTGGGCAGGTAAACACTAGATTTAGAGAAATTTAGGGTTTTTTGATGGACCCCATATTGCACATAATCATTCCATGTTATCCTTGTGGAGTAAAAATAAAGCATCCCTATAATAAATTAAGAAAGACCAGTAACTCAGACTTATTTTGGAACAGACCTTTTTCTAAATTACCTTTCTCTTTTGCTGCTAAATCAATACTAGTAGATGAAGAAAGAACATTATTATAGTCAGATGGTTTAGAACTAGAAGGGACTTTCTAAGTTATAATTGGACCTGCTTATCTTTATGCTCTGAGGCCCAAATAGATGGATTGGCCAGGGTCATATAGCTCCAAAATGACAGAGGTCCTTGAACTCAGGTCCTCTAACTCCAGTGCTCTTTCCACTATATTCCTCCTAGATTACCACAACCACCCTTCCCCCCAACTACCCAATGTATTTAATGAAGATGGAAGCTAACATACATTATTATTCAATTTAAACTAGACTAAATTTGCATATGAAATGCAGTTCATGGTTGGGGGTAGGGAGCAGTGGCAACTAGTTAGTGCAGTGGATAGAATACCAGCCCTGGAATCAGATGCAGCCTCAGACACTTACTAACTATGTGACCCTGGGCAAGTTGCTTAATCCTGATTACCTAAAAAAAAAGAAAGAAAGAAAGAAAGAAAGAAAGAAAGAAAGAAAGAAAGAAAGAA